CTCGACCCATATTCTCATCGTGTTTTGACAGTCCCGAAGCCCGGTGAGGGCCCCTGGAAGCCGACGATACCGAAAAACCTTCCGCCGCGATTTTCTCACAGCGCGCGGGGGTCAGGGGAGGGCCCTTTCAAGGGCCCTTTTTCGGCAGCCCTCGCTGCCCCCACCTTCGTCGCCCCCCCCCCCCATTGCGCGCCCCACACTGGGGCGCGCGGCGGCGTGCGCCAGGCGGCGGCCCCCAGGGCCCGTGCGCATCGCGTGCCCGAGGGGCGCGCTGGTCGGCGGCGAGCGAGGGGGGAAACGAGGAGGAGGAGGGGGAGGAGGAGGACGAGGAGGAGGAGGAGGAGGAGGAGGAGGAGCAGGAGGAGGAGGAGGAGGAGGGAAGATGCCCTCTCAAAGACGGCGGGATTTCTCAGCAGCCTTAGCGCCCTCCGAGAGGTCCTCTGTGCCTTCGGGGAGGGCTCAGGCATCCTCTCGGAAAGTTGGGGGGTTTCCGAACCTTCTGAAGAGGCCCGCCCCCTTGTCTCCTCCCCCTGGGGGCTCGCCGCCGAAATGGGTTGCGGGCCCACGGGTGGACCGCGAGCAGGGACGCGGAGCAGTAGGTCAGCGCACTCCCGTCGTGCGCAATCTAGAGTAGCACCAGCAGTGGTCGTAGTAGTTTAGGAGCCAGCCACCTGGCACAGAGCATGGAGCACCAACGACAGGGCCACAGGGGGCCACCGATCGAATGTCTCTTGGGTGCCCTGTGCACCATGGGGGCTATGGAGAGTCCCGAGGGAACCGAGCACTCGAGGCACCAGAGGCTGTGCAGAGGGCGACAGGGCCGCCGAACCAGACTCTGAACGCCATCGGGTGCCACGAAAGCACGCCGTGGAGCCGCGAGGCACGCCAGCGGGGCAAATGACCGCGTGAACTGTTGCGTGCCACCCTCCCACCCCCCTCCGCACAAACACTTCCAGGCCAATCGCCCCGAGCCCGTCCCAGGCACCATCCGCTTTCCCGAGCCGGTCCGTCTTCCCGATGGACAGCCCCAGCGCCTCGGGACCATCCTTTTATTGGCGGATGGTGCCATCCGTCTTCTGTTTGCGCCTCAACCCTTTCAAAGCTATGCAATCGTCCCGAACCCTTTCCGGGCACCGCCCTCATCCGTTTTCCGTGCTGCGCCCAGCCGCGGCGAGGAAGGGAGCCTCTCTCTCTCTCTTGTTCTCTCTCTGTTTTTGTTATCTCTCCCTACACATATATATATGTGTGTGTAAATATAAACATACATATATATATATATGTATATATGTATGTAGATATATATGTGTGTGTACGCACACACACACATATGTACAAACTTCGTGCTAGCACAAGGGACGCTGAATACGGCACGAGGGGGCTTCTCTGGCCACGGCGAGCCGCGGCCACGAGCAGGATGTTTGTCGATTGTTGTGCTGTTCTTTGTTGCCGCATGTTGATGTTACCGCGGCCACGAACAGGCTCCACGGCCCAAGCCCGGGGAACGGCCTGGGGACCGAAGCCCCTCCTGAGCCCCAAAGCGCTCCTTGACTTCGGCGCCTGGACTGACGAGCCCAGGAACGGGGGCAGGCGCGGCGCGGCGGGCGTCATCGTCGTCGTTCGTCTCTCGTCGTCGCGCGCGCGCCTCTCCTCTCTCCCCCTCCTTGTTCTCTGTCCTGGCTGCCCTCCCCGCCTCTTTTTTGTTTCCCCTTGTCTGTCGCTTTCTGCCCCTCCTTTCGGGGCAACCGACTCGCTCCATCACGGCGCAGCAAGCCACCTCATGGAGGCTCGGAGCATGCCGAGGGTACCTCCAGGGGGCCACGGGGGACCACGCGGGAGCCACACGGCACGGGAGGCCGCAGTCCAACGCGTGGATTTTTGAGCGCCCCAGGAGAGGAGGAGGAGGAGGAGGAGGAGGAGGAGGAGGAGGAGGAGGAGGAGGAGGAGGAGGAGCTAGGAGGAGCTAGGAGGAGCTAGGAGGAGGAGGAGGAGGAGCTAGGAGGAGCTAGGAGGAGCCAGGAGGAGGAGGAGGAGGAGGAGGAGGAGGAGAAGGAGGAGGAGGAGGAGGAGGAGGAGAGGCGCGAAAGGCCACTGGCAGTGATGCCACCCCTCTGCATCATTGCGACAGAAGCTAGATCTTTGCCAATGACAACACGGCCATGTCTCTCTGTAGGGATCGGAGCCCCCTTTATCCTAGCTTGGACCGCGATTTTCAGCTGGGGCCCAAGATCAGCATTTGAGGAGTCAAAGGCCCCTTTCGAACCGAAAGTGTTACACTCTGACGGGGAACGATCAGGGGACTGGCTCAGGGGGGGAGCATTGACGTGAAATTGGCGACACATCGCCGATAGGTCTCTTGGGCGGGATGAACTATCGGGCCCCTATCGGCGACGAATGGTTATCGGGATTCGATGCCCCCCCCCCCCCCGGTATCCCCCACTCACACTGCCCCTGACACTCGACCGCGGCAGCTGCCAGACAAGTTGAAGGGAGCGGGGCAAAGGACGGGCCAGGGGGGGGAGCGGCTCACCAGTGCACCGTGGAAGCCGTCTGGCAGAGAGCCCGGGCCGTTGTCGTCGTCGCTGTCCGTGGACTCGGTCGAGCCGAGGACGATGCGAGCCTGGCGGCCGGTCCAGGCCCCCAGCGCTGACAGGCCGCAGCTCCGTCGCACAGCGATGTTGCGAGCGCACGGTCCTGCAAGCGCGGCAGGCGCAGCGGTCAGCCATGTCTCCATCCCCAGAATGCGTCCTCCCAGCGCAAGGATTTTGAAAAGACTGCCCACGGAAGAGCCCGCCGGTATAGCCGCGTGTCATGGAAAGCACGCGTGCTAGCCTGGCCCCCCACCGGTGTGCCCTTCCCCTGGCGCAGTGCGCTTTGTGTGGTGCAACGCATGGGATGCAATATGCATGTGTGTGTGTGGTGCAGCAAGTGCGGTTGAGCCAAAGCAATGCAATACATGTTGTGCACGCTACGTTGTGAAATCTATGGAGTGGAGCCTACGCGGTGCCTCCTATGAAGTTGAATTTTGTAACTTAAGATGTGTAGTCTATGTTCTTGAAACGACCTCGACGACCCGATCACAGTTTTTCTCCAGCCCTCCTCCCTCACGCTGAAGCGCTCCTTCGGAGCCCCGCCCTGTTGCGTTCCAGGAGCAGGGGGGCCTGGAGGCAGCCTCTGTAGCAGAAGGGAGTGACCCCCCACGCACGCACGCATGCACTCACGCACGCACGCACGCCCGCCCCCCCACCCCCCGCCCCCCTCCTCACATACACACAGACACACACAGAGGTACACACACACACACACACACACACAAACACACACACAAACACAAACACACATACACACACACACACACACACACGCACGCACGCACGCACGCACGCACGCACGCACGCACGCACGCACGCACGCACGCACGCACGAACACACACACACACACACACACCCACACACCACACGACACGACACGACACGACACAACACAACACATCACAACACAACACACCACATCGCAACGCAATGCAAAGCAACACAACACAACACAACACAACGCAACACAGCACAACACAGCGCGCAGCACGCAGCACGCAGCACACAGCACACGGGACACAACACACATAACACAACACACAGCACACAACACTAAGCACATAGCACACAGGCACACAACACACAGCACACACCACACAGCACACAACACACACAACGCACACCACACACATACACATACATACAGCCAACAACACACACACATCATACTTCGTCATTAATCGCATCGCACTCTCTGCGATGAGATCAGCCCATCGGCAATCTTCACCAGGGAACATCTTCCTGGGGTTAGACGCCCTGTGCCGCGAGCTGCTTCAAGAGGCGGCGGCGGAGAGGCACCCAGTGCTTCTGCGTCACCGCTGCATCGACACAGCGGCCCTGGGAGCAGCGGGCTCGACAGCCCGCATAGTAAGGATGGGCGGCCTTCCAAAGGATACCCTTTGCATTCTGGCCCCTTCGGCCCATCCTTGGCGATTTTCCCTGGCCAACCTCGATCGAGAAAACGTTCACATGGGTCTCTAAGGCCCTTGCATCCTTACAGCGCATCCTTCTGATACGGGCAGCGCGCGCGCGGTGGAAGAGGGGACGAGGGAGGAAAGAAAGAGAGGGCAAGATCAGTCAACATCGAACCGGGAAACCCGATCGAATCGGAACGTCCGTCGGATGGGGCCGCATCGGCGCGCCGCAAGAGCAGGAGGAGGAGGAGGAGGAGGAGGAGGGGGAGGAGGAGGAGGAGGAGGAGGAGGAGGAGGAGGAGGAGGAGGAGGGGGAGGGGGAGGAGGAGGAGGAGGAGGAGGAGGAGGAGGAACGTCCGTCGGATGGGGCCTCATCGGCGCGAAGTCGGCACCGCATCGCATCGGCCGCGCCACGGTGCACAGCAGCGCCGTGCGAGCATCGGGCCATCTCTTGAGCAGGGACCGACCGTCCCGGCATTCCTATAGTCCTACCACGACATGTTCTCAGAACCCGAAAATGTTCTAATAAAAAATTAAGGTTCTTAGAACATAAACCCGACGCGTTGAAACAAGCCAGCGTCCGCCAGAAATGTTCTAAGAACATTTCGTGGGAACCACAAAAGGTTCTTAGAACATTGTTTGGCGGGGCTGTAGGCGAGCCAGGACGCTTCGCCACTGCTTGATCATAGTGTCGGCCCGGCCGCAACGGACATCGAGGCGGACGGATCGGAGCGACACAGGCCCTGCCACGCCAGGGGCCACTCGGCTTGGGGGGCACAGCTCGGGTCTCCCGCGGCCGTTTTCGGGAGAATCTCCGGGGGACGCTCTCGGCGAGGCGCAGCTGCTGGAGGGCATCCCGAGGCAAGACCACCTCCAGGAACCAACGAAGGCCTCGAAGAGGGAGGGGGGCGGGGCCGACGTCGACGACGACGACGACGACGACGACGACAACGACCCTCTGTGTAGCGCGACCCCCCCCCCGCGAAAAAGAGGCGCCCCCAGGTCTGCTGCCCCGGCTCGGCCAGCGGCACGGGAGGCGCGTCTCTGCATCAGGTAGCGGCTCCACCTGGGCGCTGGCGGGCGCCGGCGATGATGAGGGACAGTGTGAACATGCTGAGGAGGATGTTGATCAGCACGAGGAGAGAGGACAGGAGGAGGAGGATAAGGATGAGAAGGAGGAGGACGAGGAGGAGGAGGAAAAACATACTGAGAAGGAGGAGGAGGAGGAGGAGGAGGAGGAGGTGGAGGAGGAGAAAGAGAGAAGATGAAAAACAGGAGGCACACATGATGATAAAGAATCATATCAGGTGCCTCTGCCCTCTCCAAAGGCCCCCTGGGGAACCCCCTCCCCGAAAAGGGCGGAAACATGTGGACAATTTTTTCCGCTTTTTGGGCGACACTATGCTGCGTCTGCAGCGCCTGTGGACGCACCATGGCATCCTTCCGGGGGCGGAAGAATGGGGGATAAAGGGCCTCTACGGGGGGCAAGCCCCAGACCCTGCATCCCCTACCCCCCCGATGCTAGCCCCCCCCCCAGGGGGGCGTTGCCTGCGCCCGCTGCGCGGGCAGGGTTCCGATTTTTCAGGGGGGGGTCGATGACGCAGGCGGCCTGTGGTTCCAACCCCCCCTCTGCGAGGCTCCTGCAGCGCCCTGTCGGGCTCGCTTCACAGGCCTGTGAGTCCTGCCGAGCCTCCCTGCGGTCGGTTGCTTGCTTCTCGGCCTGTTCCCGGGCTCCGCCAGGGGGGCCGCCTTCGGCAGCTCGGCCTGCGGCGCCTGACCCGCACCGCACGCCAATTGGAACAAGACGCCTCCGAGAAAGATCGTTTGGGGCACCCCCCTCTTGTGCACGAGGGACGGTTTTTATTACACCCCCCCGTGCACCGGAGACGGCCTTTGCTACACTCCCCGCTCACGCACGAGGGGCACATCTTGCCACCATCCCTTCTGTCAGTGCCCAGAACGGCCACCCGTGGCTCCGCGGCGGCCACGCACCCTCACCGTGGCTCCTGCCCACAGTCGCAAGGCCTGGGCTGCTCCCCCTCGCTTGTGGCCAGAGCCCCCCGGGGGGACTCCAGGGGAGACGGCCCCGCCCCGCGGGCGGCCACGTGGAGGGCGTTCTGGAGCCTGGTGCCACACTGGCGGGGGAGCCCGCGGAGAATGCTGCTATTGGGTCGGGCGTGTCCTCCCACAGGCCGATCTTGGGCGAAATATAAAAAACTTTCCAAATAGTCAAAAAATAAAGAACAATCGTCCCCAGATTTTTTGACTATTCTTGAATTTTCCTCCTGTAGAGGGACATGCCCGACTGAATGCTGCTGAGAGTCCAGCAGATCGCAGGCGACCGCCAATGCTGAGACCACGGACGGTCCAACACCACTCGGATCAGTGGCGAACTGCCGCGGCCAACTGCGAGCGTCACGCGCATGGCGGAGCGGATGATGAAGTCCAAGGGGGTGCTCCGGTCGCGCGTGACGACCGCGGACCGAGCACGGCAAGGCAAGACACCGTGGCCGACGTAACCTCCAGCATTCCGAGCGGATTCCAAGACGATGCTGAGAGGCGCACAAGGCGACCTCGAGGGGCCCTCGACGACACAGGAGGGCCCCACGAGGGGCCCACAAGGGGCCGTACACGGCCGAAGAGAGCCCCACGAGGCCCCCGAGAAGGCCATATACGACCCCACAAGAGCCCCGAGGCAGCCCCCTGCTCTGGCCCCCACGCGCTCCTCCGGTCGCCCCGACGGTGACGCATCGGAGAGCCATACTTCAACCCCAGTCGATTACGATCAGATGCGTTTGCTCGGGGTGTTGGGGCGGCGAGCTCGGCGACACGCTATGCCCTGCAAGCAATTCGAATGTCGGCCCGCTCCGCTCCGCTCCGCGTGGCGTGAGGCTGTGAAGAGCTCGAGAGGTTGAAGCTTGGAAATGGAGACCTGGGTGGTCAGCGTGTCGCGCCGAGGCGCGGTGGGCCAGATCCGGCGGAGCGACACGCGAACCAAAGTTTCTGAACGTAATTTGCAACAGTCGCCCTGCGCTTCCGCAGGGGCAGGGGGGCGGCGCTGATTCGCCGCATACGTCTTGGACGAGGCGCGAAAGATCCTCTCCCAGAACGAGGACCCCACGTTAACCTGGGAGGCCCACGTTTCCATTGCCCTCGCCCACCACAAAATACATTATGAGCCGTTGCCCTCAGGGTCACGGCCATCATGAGTCTACAGCAAGCTCAACTCAACAGAGTCCCCTGAGCCCTCCTGGCCATGACCCGAGTTTCGAGACGCGTCCAGCCAGGGCGCCGATACAGACGGGCTGCTGAAATAAGGAACGCGATAAGTAACGAAGCCCCTTTTTGGCCTCCAAGGCGCCTGCGTGGACGAGGAGCGCTGGAGAAAGAGCCATGGAAGGACCCAAGGAGCATCGGGCCAAGCCAAACCTTGCCTTATCTCGGCATCTTGGCTGCAGCCCCCCGAAGGCCCGACGATTTCTGGGAGGCCCGACGCAGACCACAAGAGGCACTCGCGCACCTGTTTTACGCATCTCCAGCCGCCAGCAGGATGGCGGGCGGGCCCTTTTCAAGTTGGGGCTCCCGCCTCGGACCTCCTCAAATTCGCGACCAGGAAGAAGTCTGCGCCTGTGCAGCAGTGGCACGACTCTGCGCGATGAGACGCTTGTGCGCCGCCCTGCCCGGGCGGCAGAGAGGGGCACTGCACGGGGGGCGCACCTGGGGGGCCGTGCCAGGCGGCCAGAGAGGAGCGAAGGAGGCTGCGCAGCACCGCCCAGTGCTTGGCCCGACGGGCGAGGCGCCGGAGAGGGCGGCGTCGGAGAGGCTCCTCCTCCTCCTCCTCCTCCTTCTCCTCCTTCTCCTCCTCCCGATGAGGACAGCAGTGAGGCGACGGCTTCTTTTCCACGGCGCGGTCTCGCCGCAGTGTCGTCCCAACACGCGGTCCGAGAGCTCTGTAGAGTGTGTAGTAGCCTGCGCGGGTGGAGGGCGGGTCCGCTGCCAGAGCGAGGCCAGCGCTGGTCGGACTTTTTCTTTACGGGATTGCACTGCCGCTTCTTCTCTTCAGCTCGGCGGATGTGGGTCAGCGTCGCGGAAACAGTCTCTCGCTGTTAAAAGCAAGGCCGCGCAGCACTCGTCTTGCAACGGGGGTGCTTCGCGCAGAAAAAAAACATGCGTGTAGGGACTGATGATGAAGGGGCTTGGGGCGGGAGGGTGTGTTGCCGCATCGTTGATACCTGCTGGGCTCACTCCTGTCCCTCCTCCTCCTCCTCCTCCTCCTCCTCCTCCTCCCTCCCCCTCCTCCTCCTCCTCCTTGTTCTCCTGCTCCTCCTCCTGCTCCTCCTCCTGTTCCTCCTCCCCTCCTCCTCCTCCTCCTCCTCCCTCCTCCTCCTCCTCCTCCTCCTCCTCCTCCTCCTCGTCCTCTTTCCTCCTCCTCCTCCTCATCCTCCTCCTCCTCCTCGTCCTCCTCATCCTCACTCTCCCTCTCCCCTCCTCCTCCTCCTCCTCCTCCTCCTCCTCCTCCTCTTCCTCCTCCTCCTTCAGGAGCTCGCTCAGATAACCACACCTCATACTCAAAGCGTCAGAAGTCGCGGAGCTGATCCAGGAGCAGGACATGTCGGGCCACCGACGAGATCCGGCAGCGGACGAAGAGTCGACCCAACAGCAGTGCAGATCGCATGGAGGGTCTCACGGAATTCCGCACCCGCTGTCCGAATGCCCAGTTGACTGCCGAAGTAGAAATCCTCAAAACTCGACTGCGCAAGGAGGACGATAATCGTAACCGGACACTTCGACAGCAGCTGGCAACAAAAACATGATGTGCTTCGCCGTGTGGAGGGAGGAAGCTCCCTCCACACGGCGGAGGAAGGAAGCACAAAGCTTAGGAAGGGAGGGAGGGATGGGAGGGAGCTTCCTCCCTAAGCACAAAGCGCAGTGCTTAGGGAGGCAGCTCCCTCCACTCGGAGCAGCAGGGATCGTGAAGGTCCGCAGGCGCACGGCCCGAAGTCCAGGCACCCGCCCGCCGAGCACAACCATCTCAAAGAAAAAGGCCAGAGCGAACGCGAAGCCCTTCTTCCATGTCCTACTGCGCACATGCCCAGTAGGATTGGGTAGAGGAACCTGCAGTTTGATCTTTTCGTAAACAGCCAGGACTCAAGGCTCAACTGCGCAAGGAGGACGATAGTCGTAACCAGACGCGTCGACGGCAGCTGGCAGCAAAAACATGATGTGCGTCGCCGTGTGGAGGAGGAAAGGGAGGAAGGAAGCTCCCTCCTCTCCACTCAGAGCAGCAGGGAGGAAGTGCTTAGGGAGGAGGAACCAGACGCAGTGCTTAGGGAGGAACCAGTCGCAGTGCTTAGGGAGGCAGCTCCCTCCACTCGGAGCAGCAGGGATCGTGAAGGTCCGCAAGCGCACGGCTCGAAGTCCAAGCACACGCGTTCCCGCCCGCCGAGCACGACTGCCTCAAAGAAAAAGGGCCAGAGCGAACGCGAAGCCCTTCTTCCATGTCCTACTGGGCAGATGCCCCGTAGGATTGGGTAGAGAAACCTGCAGCTTGATCTTCTCGCAAACAAAAGCGCGTTTCATATTTGAAGCCTGTTTTTTGATAGTTTCGAAACCTGCAGTTTGATATTTTGGTATTTTCGTATTTTCCATCGGGGTCAGGGAAGCAACCCACCAAAAGTTTTGGTGCATTCAGCAAGATTATGCACTGCTGATCAGATGGTTTACGGTACCATCCACTTGTCATGACTACGGCAGCGTGGTCTTCAATTGCTCTACTGCCCAATGTCAATGGCTACGGCAAGCTGCGGTAGAACTCGTTTTTGGTAGGAGGTGGTCCCAACCATACATTGCATATCCTTCGGCAGGTGCAGCTGGGCGCTGCGGAAAGTAATCATCATTGATGCGGTAGAACCCGCTCTTGTGCACAATCGATTTCTCTGCGATTTGCTGAGTATTGCATCACCGATGCAGGGGAACGAGGGAAAGCAGAAGGTCACTTTCCAGATCCTCCAGCCGAGTGGTAGAGACCACAACACAGTGAACCCCTTTGCTCATAGGGAGGCGCCCGCGGGATTAACTTTCCCCGGTCTTCACGTCATATCTTGCTCAGCTTGTCTCTGGTTCTTCCTCACTAGCCTCCCTCGCCATCCTCCACCAGCGTGCACAGTGCCAGGCAGGCTGGCGGACCCTGAGAGTCAGGGATTCCAACTCCTCCCTCATCCTCCCTCGCCTTCATCCTCTGCGCGTGCAATCAGCCAGGCTAGACACGCATCTAACACGTGTGGAGGGGGCGGGACGGGAGTGGGCGGCGGTGGTGGTAATCTACTGGCGTGGGGTGGGTGGAGGATTATAAAAAGCTTTCCTGCACAGACACGACACGGTAAGGCTAGCAGTCAATTGCACTACATTGTGGAAGTCCTGGCCCTCCCGATTTCCCTTGCTTGAGCTCAGAGCAATGGTTGGCACCCACGGCCAGTGGCGCAGGCCACCGGTGCATCTCCTAGCTTATCCTGTCACCAGCCGGCTGGTGTAAGAGAGTCCAAACCTGCAGGTTGGTGTCTACGAGGCTTCTCTGATGTCAGGATGGGGGGTCATTGAGATCGGGGATGGTCGTGGAAGGTCGGGCGCAGGCTTCAGTGCAGCAGCGCAGTTGTCGCCAAGATCTGGCACGACCCTCAGAGTCAGGGTCTCCCCTTCCTCCCTTTCTCCTCCTATGTCCTCCTACCTCCTCTCCTCCTCTGGGGTAGGGCCGGTGGAGCCGCATTGGCATCGGCAACGCTTCTGGCATGGCCCGAAGGCCGGTTGCTGGCTAACTCAGCTCGCTTCTGGTGGTCACACCGCGAAGCCAAGGTCAAGCAAAACATCCTCCTCCTCCTTCTCCTCCTCCTCCTACTCCTCCTCCCTCCCTCCCTCCCTCCTCCCTCCTCCCTCCTCCCTCCTCCCTCCTCCCTCCTTCTTCCTTCCTCCTTCCTCCTCCCTCCTCCCTCCTCCCTCCTCCCTCGTCCCTCCTCCCTACTCCCTCCTCCCTCCTCCCCCTCCACCTCCTCCTTCTCCACCTCCTCCTCCCTCCCCCTCCTACTACTCCCCTGATCCTCCCACTCCTTCTCCTCCTCCTCCTCCTTCTCCCTCCTCCCTCCTAGCTCCTCCAACCGGCCCCATTCTCCCCCCCCTCTCTTCCCTCATCTCTCCTCTCTCCTCCCACCTCCCTCTCTCGTCTCTCCTCTCTCATCTCTCCTCTGTCCTCTCTCCTCTCTCCTCTCTCCTCTCTCCTCTCTCTTCTCTCCTCCTCCTCCTCCTCCTCCTCCTCCTCCTCCTCCTTCTCGTCCTCCTCCTCCTCCTCCTCCTCCTCCTCTTCCTCCTCCCCTTTCTCAGCCTCATCCTCGTCCTCCTCCTCCTCCTCTTCCTGCCCCTCCACATTCTCCGCATACACCTCTTTCTTCCTCCACCTCATCCTCCTCCTGGTCCTGTTCCTCCTCCTCCTATCCTCCTCCTCCTCCTCCTCCTCCTCCTCCTCCTCCTCTCTTCCTCCTCCTCCTCCTCCTCCCCTCCTCGTCCTCCTCCTCCTCCTCCTCCTCCTCCTCCTCCCTCCTCCCTCCCAACCTCCTCCCTCCCTCCCTCCCTCCCTCCCTCACCCTCCTCACTCCCTCCCTCCCCTCCCCCTCCTCCTCCTCCTCCTCCTCCTCCTCCTCCTCCTCCTCCTTCTCCGACTCCTCCTCCTCTCCTCTCCTCCTCCTCCTCCTCCTCCTGAAGAGGAGAGAACCCCTCCTCCTCCTCCTCCTCCTCCTCCTCCTCCTCCTCCTTCCTCCTCCTCCTTCTCCTCTCCGCCCCCTCCTCCCCCTCCCCCTCCCCTCCTCTCCTTCTCTCCTCCTCCTCCTCCTCCTCCTCCTCCTCCTCCTCCTCCTCCTCCTCTCTTGTACTCCTCCTCCTCCTCCTCCTCCTCCTCCTCCTGTTTCTCTCCCTCTTCCTCATCCTCCTCCTCCTCCTCCTGCTTCTCATGTTTGCCTCCTTCTCCTGTTTCTCCTACTGTTTCTCCTCACGTGTCCCCTCCTGTTTCTCATCCTGCTTCCTCCTCCTCCTCCTCCTCTCCTCCTCCTCCTCTCCTCCCCTCATCTCTCCTCCTCCTCCTCCTCCTCCTCGTCCTCCTCCTCCTCCCTCCTCCTCCTCCTCCTCCTCCTCCTCCCCCTTCTTATCGTCCTCCTCCTCCTCCTCCTCTTTCTCCTCCCCCTCTGTCCTCACTGGCCGCCTCGGCTTCAGGTGCAGGCGCCCCAGGGTCGCGCGCAGCTGCACGAGGCCCGCAACGGCGAGCAGCGCCAGCAGCAGACGCCTCGCGCGCGACCGCGGGAGTCCGCCAGCGCCGAGGGCCACTGGGGGCCGCCGAGGGCCGCCGGGCTTTCCCGTGGCTCGCCCAAATCGGCTACACGCAAGAGCGACCCTGGGTAAGAGTGACCTTTGGTGCTCGGTTTTTGGGGGGGCCAAGGGGGACCAAACGCAAGCGCACAAGACGCCACCACCGCACTGCGCTCGGCGATCGGGGGACTCTAGTGAGCCCGCACTAAAGGTCACTCCGGCGAAGGGTCACTCTTACGCGTAGTCGACTAAGCCCCCTCCTCGCCAATGCTCAGGATGATGCAAGATGCTCCTCGATGGCCCTCGCCGAGAGCAAATGCACACGTCCGAGCGATGCCAGGCCTCGAGTCGTGGCCCAAATCGCGACGACGGGGGGGGGGGGTCGGCCATAGCTTGGGTCTCCTGGGAGCCTCACCCCTGCCACGGGGCGGCCGTAGAACACGATTCGAAGCAGGAAGCGGGCCCTGGGGAGGGGGTCGACACCCTCAGGGCTCCACGTCGCGAACAAAAAATCACGACGTCGGCTCGTGCATGCTTCCGCGTTTGTCCATTCGCCGCTACCGTTGGCACGGAACTGGCAGTTCCTGAACGAGTGCCCGTGCGCTGCTAAAAGCAACGCGTGCCCTGACGTCTGCTGCGTTGCCTTGAGATGGTCGGCTCCTCGTGGGTCCAAGGAGGACGCTTTGCAACGTGTCTGGCCCTTGTCGGCTATCTGGTGCCACAGCCCGTGTCGGCTCCTGCTGCCGAACACATGCTATACTAACAACAACGTCTGTGTTAAACGCGTTCTCCCTGGAGGCGGGGCCAAAACGGCCACACACGATGGAGGGAGAAGGAAGAACCAGACATGCAAAACAAGAGTGGAAGCTGGGAAGAGGCCGAGGCACGAGGAGGTGATCCATCCAACCCTGCGATCCGACATTGCGAACAGTCTGCAGCGTCGCGACGAATCTTCGCAGTGTCACATCCGACCCGTCGATCCGATCCTCCGATCCGGTGGTTACGATCCGACATTTCACGAGCCGGATCGACACGTGATGGTCCCAGGGCCCGAAAACGGGTGCAACGCCCCCAGCGCGACAAAAGTGTTGCACGCCTAGATCTCCAGGAACACTGTCGGGCCTCTGGGGGCCTCTGGGGCTCCAAAACCGGACGGCCGCAGAGCCTGCCACGGAAAAGGCGACGGCAGGGCGTTTTCGTGGCTCTTGCAGGCGGCTCGCTGCCCAAGGCCTCGTCCTCCTCCTCCTCCTCCTCCTCTTCCTCCTCCTTCTACGTCTATAGTACAGCGCATAGCATGGTACTGCTGAGTAGTATGGTATAGAGAAGAGAGGTCTAGGTAACACAACCTGATTATACAGAATGAAACGTAGCGTGACTACACAACGCAATACAGTGCACTCGAATCGTCCCGAATAGAATCTTGCTAGATATAGCAGAACAGAACACATTAACGACCGATTACAAGCGTCATATCAAACACGACGTGCGCGCCGAACTCAGGCTGTTCACTGGAACAAAAGGGCGCAACAACGACCGATTGGACCACGTAGCGCTGGCTCACCCAGAACATAGGATAACATACTATAGTTCAACATCGTAAAAACAATCAGTGAATCTGCCACCATGCCTCTGGACACGGAGTGGGCGTCCTCAGGTCCTTTGCCTAATCATCTAAGCCTCAACCCTCGCTCCTGAGGAATATCTTGAGGCCCAGAGCCCAAATTCTCAATTCTCCCTGGGCTTGCCGCGTCTTCTTGAGTCTCGTCGCATGACAATGTCCGACCCAAGCAGGCTCGAAGCCGGGCCAAGAGGGCCCCTAGAGGTCTGCAAGATGGTCCAAGAGGGCCTCGAGTCGCCGAAAGATCGCCCCGAGATGTCCAAGACGGCTGCAAGACGGCCCAAAAAGCCTCCAGGGCGTCCCGAGAGGCCTCCTAAGATGGCCCCAGGAAGCAACAAACATTGATCATCCAATCGTTGTTGTAGGATTTGGGCGGTCTCGCCTTTTTCGGCGCCCCGACGATCCAAGACGGCCCAAGAGATCCCCAAGATCGCCCCAAGACGGCCCCCGAGGCTCCCAAGAAAGTCCAAGAGGCGCTTAAGACGGCCCATGAGGGCCCAAAGACGACTCCAAGAGGGGGCCCATATGGGGAAATCGAACGGACATTTCGAGCCCTCGGCCCCTAGGAGTCCGCAGGAGGCCCCAAGAGGCCCCCAAGAGGCTCTCAAGCCACGTGCCCCCAAGAGGCCCCAATTTGCCCCCGAGAGGCTCCCCCCAAGAGGACCTCAAGACAGCCCCAGAAGCCTCCAAGACGCCCATGACGGCCTCCAAGACGGCCCTGAAGCGCCCCAAGGGGGCCCCAAGTCGGTTCAGAGAAGCACCCAAGACGGCTTCTGACGGCGTCGCACGGGCCAGAAACGCCCCAAGACTGCCAAAGATGCCTCCAAGAAGCTCCAAAAGGCCCCAATGAGGCCCAAGGAGGTTCCCAAGAGGCCGACAAGAAGCTCCCAGAATGCCCCGAGAGTCCTTCTTCTCCTCCTCCTCCTCCGCCTCCTCCTCCTCCTCCACCTCCTCCTCCTCCTCCTCCTCCGCCTCCTCTTCGTCCACAGTTACACACTATGAATAATACTCTCCTCTCTCCCCTGATTGCGTCCGGAAAATATCCGGCCCCCATTCGCGCATTGTTTTTACACACGCGATTCCTGGGAACTGGGTGTTCGCTTGTCTTTGTTCGAAAATGTCGCTCCCGCTGCAACGCTGGCCTCATTTCCGCTTTTCCGCTCGTTCTGAATCGTGCTTCCGCTACAGCGCTGGCCTCATTTTCGCGCTTCCGCTCGTCCCGATGCAGCGCTGACGTCATTATTCCCAAGTGCCATGCCACGCCATGGTTTTCGGTCAGTCCAAACGGGCCTCAAAGTATAGAAAATGGCCTCCCGAAAAACAAAGAGCCATCGGAAGCGATCACACATTCGGTGTCGATTCGTTGATTTTCTGGGCCGCAGGAGCCCCCCCTCACTTTGGGGCGTCGCCATGCCATGTCATGTCATGCTACGCGGTGACGTTCAACACCATGCTATGCCATGCGATGCTATGCCATGCTGCGACATCCGATTGCGCTAATGGAGAGGAGATCTGCGCCATGGCGAGGGAAGGGACGGAGGGGCAGGACGACAGACATGGCGCGAGCGCACCCAGCTTGTCCCCCTCCCCACCCTCCCCCTCCTCCTCCCCCTCCTCCTCCCCCTCCTCCTCCCCCTCCTTCTCCTCCCCCTCCCCCTCCTCCTCCTCCTCCTCCTCCTCCTCCTCCTCCTCCTCCTCTTCCTCCTCCTCCTCCTCCGGCCGGCCTGTGTTTTTCTGAAAGAAATACTCAATGACTCTCCCCCCCTCCTCCCCCTCCTCCTCCCCTCCTTCTCCTCCCCCTCCCTCCCCTCCTCCTCCTCCTCCTCCTCCTCCTCCTCCTCCTCCTCCTCTCCTCCTCCTCCTCCCCTCCTCCTCCTCCTCTCCTCCCCCTCCTCCTCCTCCTCCTCCTCCTCCTCCTCCTCCCCCCTCCTCCTCCCCCTCCTCCTCCTCCTCCTCCTCCTCCTCCTCCTCCTCCTCCTCCTCCGGCCGGCCTGTGTTTTTCTGAAAGAAATACTCAATGACCTCTCACACGGCTTGGCGGGCCCTTGCAAAACAGCCGCGGCAAGCACCTGAGTCTCGCAACTCGCAGAACGTCCTTGGCTTGCAGCCGTTGGACCCAGGCATGCAAATCGCTGTGCGCAACGTGGCCCGCATCTGAGCTGCTGACAGCAAGGCCCAGGGCGGCACGATAGGGTCGGAGCCAAATGGAAGCATTGTAGAAGAGCCCTGTTAGTGGGTAGCTCTCAGCGTAGCGTACCTTGAGCTCGACCCGAAACTGCTTCCGAGGCCCCAACGTGCGTTGAACGGGATGTGTACTTCGCTGGCAACCAAGCCAATCCTGATCGGCCCGACAACTCGAGCCGATCATTGACCATGGTACCTAAAGCTTTGACTGTTCTTTTGATGTGGATGCAATCGCCTAGTGATGGAATGAACACCTCTCTGCCTCACTAACTGGTATGATGAGTCCTGCTGTCTTGCTGAGATTGAGACGCAGGCCACTCTTAAAGATCACCGCTGCCAAGTTTTCGGTGGCCTTCACGAGTGTTGCTCGTGTGTCAGCCGCCTGGCCAACAGCACAAAACGCCGTGAGATCATCAACACATCATGTAGTGTCATGTGTCTGCTCTAAGTCATCCATTTGAGCAAAAGACAAGGTCGCCGGGGTCAAATCGGGCATCCATGCGAGCCCATCGATGGTGAGCCTGGCCTGCAGCTCGCGGATCATCCGGGGCGGAATTGAAAGCGTCGGTGGCAGGCACAGTGCCTGGCTTTGTGCCTAGCATCTGCTTCTTGCAACCTTTAGCGTGTCTGCACGCCCAGAAGCCCGAGGATAAAGTGGCTGAGGACAAGGCATTGAGATAAGGATTGACAACAAGGATGAAACCCAAGGATAAAGCTTCTCCTCCTGCTCCTCCTCCTCCTCCTCCTCCTCCTCCTCCTACTCCTCCTCCTCCTCCTCCTCCTCCTCCTCCTCCTCCTCCTCCTCCTCCTCCTCCTCCTCCTCCTCCTCTCTATTGTGTCATCTCTCTCCTCCACTTCTTCTTTCTCCCCCGCGTGGACCCCGAAGAGCCTCCACAACGGCTGGAAGAACACATGGTCTGATGCTTAGCAGAGCTCTGGCCACAACGCTCGGCCACGCGGCCGATTCCAGAAGGCGGGGGGCGCGTGTTCGATCCTCCGCCCCCCTGCTGGCTTGCCACAGGGGTGCCTGGCGTTACAGACTCCAAATGGTCTTGCCACAGGGGTGCCTGGCGTACCTGCTGTTGGCTTGCCACAGGGGTGCCTGTTGGCTTGCCACAGGGGTGCCTGGCCGTCCCCTGTTGCCTTAGCTTGCTGAACTTCGAATGGCGTTGGTTCTTTTACAAGCTCCCCCTGGGGCTTCGGCCCAGCGCGCCGGTCACCCGAAATGCTTGCCCGGAGGTGGTTGGCACGGATTCATCCGTTCCAGGTGGGTCCAAGATGGCCTGCAAGACGTCCAAGGTGGCCTCCAAGTTCGCCCAATATGGTCGAAAATGGCCTGCCAGCCTTCCCAAGAGGGTGAAAGATGCCTCCAAGTCCGCTGAAGAAGACCTCCAAGAGGTCCTCCAGGAGGGCCCGAAGAGGCCAAAGTCATTGAACTTCCATAGTTTGCTCATTTTCGGCGTTCCGACGGCCCAAGACGGCCCAAGATGGCCCCAAGATGACCCCAAATGCCTCCAAGATGACCCCAGAGACTTTCAAGATGACCCCTATCACGGTATAACGAGCTTCCAAGATGGCCCCAAGAGGGCCTCAAGACGGCCGAAGAAACCTCCAAGACTGCCCTGAAGCGTCCCAGAGTCCCAAGTCGGTTCAGAAAGGGACCCAAGACGGCTTCTGACGGCGCCAGGCGAGCCAGGAACGCCCCAAGATAGCCATCGAGGCCCGAAAGAAGCTCCCAAAGGCCGCCAAGAGGCCCAAGGAGGCTTCCACGAGGCCTCCCCAAGAATCCTCCTCCTCCTCCTCCCCCTCCTCCTCCTCTTCCCCCTCCTCCTCCTCCTCCTCCTCCTCCTCCTCCTCCTCCTTCTCATCCTCTCTCTAGTGCTCCTCCCTCCCCTCCGCTTCTTTTTTCTCCCCCGCGTGCTCCCCGAAGGGTTTCTACAACGGCTGGGGGAACACATGTCCGATAGCTTGGCAGAGCTCTGGCCACAACGTTCGGCCACATGAGCGATTCCAAAAGGCAGGGGGCGGCGGTGATTCGACGAAAGCGTCTTCGATATTACATAGTGAAGACGGTCGAATGTAGCAGCGACCGGTTAACGGCACCCTATCAGGCGCAACATGCTAGCAAACGTAAGGCTGGCCACAATAATACATTAGAACCGAATGCAGTAGCGACCGAGGAACGGCGTCTTATCAAACGCGACATGGGCGCCGAGCTTAGGCTAGCCACATTGGCACAGTGCGCCAGACCCGGGACGCCGTGTCGTTTGGTTTTGCCGAATACAGCCGACGCATATGACAGGAAGCCTTGCTTTGGGGACGGGCTCCCAACGAGCCCTTCAACGTCCGGCTGAGCCCCAGGGCGTCTGCAAACACGTGGGGCCACCGGGAAATATGACATCTCCACGGGGCACCATCCGGCAAGTTATCTTGCCATTTGAGGCGCCAGGCGTGGCATTCTGGAAGGGATGGGTGAAAAATATCCTCGGCGGGCGTGCGGTCGCCCTGCTTCGGAACCCGCTCGACACTGAGAGAAGGGAGACGAGCGGGGTGCAGGCGAAACACGCCAGCAGAGTCGTTCATCGGGTCGGGCGAGAGGGGGGGATAGCAAAGGGGGGTCTGAGAATCAGCTCACGTAGTTCTTCCCGGCGCCTCCCGGCGCCGGAGGCGGCTATGCATCGAGGAATGGGCCCCTCGGTGAGGCCGAAACCAGCTGCACGCAGCAGGTTTCGTAAGCCCCTCTTTCCCAACCTCCCCTTTCGTCCGGCCCGAATGCAGGAAGCAGGGCGCGATGCCCCGCCTCTTGACCCGGTCCTCGACCAGGCTCATGACGTGCAGGCAGCTGACCTCGGAGGCACCACGAGAGTGGCTGCGTGCGGGCGAGAGCGGGCTCGGGAGAGAGCGCGCCTGCTGGAGCAGGGCCCCGGACACACAGGGACAGTGTTGCCCTGGGCTCTCCCATGGGATCTCAGCTGATCTTACGCAGAAGGCATCTATACACCACCACCGTGCCAGGCCACGGCCATCCTGGCGCTGGCATGGTGTCTTCGCCCTCCTGGCCGAAGCCAGGAGGGTGTATACACCATTCTGGGGCCCAGGAGGGCCCTGGCCTGGCACGGTGGTGGTGTATAGATGCCTTCGTCGGAGATCTCATCCTTTTTCTGACATCGCCCGCAAGGAAATGCTCCCACAGCTGAACTTCCCCTCAGTTCCGCTGGCCCTCGCCCAGATCGCCGGCGACAAGCTCGCCGTGCCCGCGCGGAGTACTGCCACAAGCCCCCTGGGCGTATGCCGTTCGGCCTGCCGACGCGTTTCGAGGAGGTGCGCACCTCCTCCCTCCTCCTCCCCCACCTCCTCCTCCTTCTCCCCCTCCCCCCCCCTCCCCTCCTCCTCCTCCTCCTCCTCCTCCTCCTCCTCCTCCTCCTGGTCCTCCTGGTCCTCCTGGTCCCTCCTCCTCCTCTTCTCCTCCTCCTCCCTTCCTCCTCTCTCCTCCTCCTCTTCTCCTCCTCCCTCCTCGTCCTGGGGAGAAGGAGGAAGAGGAGGAGAAGGAGGAGAAGGAGGAAGAGGAGGAGGAGGAGGAAAGAGGAGGAGGAGGAAGAGGAGGAGGACGAGGAGGAGGAGCAGGAGGAGGAGGAGGCTCGGAGGGGTAGATAATGGCCAAAGGATGGCAGGATACTGCAATTAAACCGTATCATAAGGACGCACCGTAAGGATGCAGGGGGCCTTGGAAAACAATTTCGAAGCTTTTCGATCGTGGCGCGGTCAACGAAAGTGGCCAAGGATGGACGCAGAGGGCAAGGATGCAAGGGTACCATTGGGAAGGTTGCCCATCCTTGCTATGCGGGCTGGCTGTACACTTGAATCGTGATCGTTTTCTCATTCATTGTTTGCCGATCGGCGCGGGCCCACTAACCCACCTTCCCCCCCCCCCTCATGGAGTAGGTCTTGGCTGTTTTTTCGGCGCCTGTCTCGAGCGGGCGGATGCTCCCCCCAGAGGCAACACTCTTGCAGACGGTCGCACAAAGCAGAGGTCTGGAGCCAGACCCCCTCCCCTTCCGCCCCATGCCGAAACGCCGACCAGGAACAAAAAAACGCTCACCCGTGGAGATGCTGTGGGAAACCACACAAAAACACACACACACACACACACACACACACACACACACACACACACACACACACACACACACACACACACACACACACACACACACACACACACACACAAACACAAACACAAACACAAACACAAACACAAACACAAACACAAACACAAACACAAACACACACACACACACACACACACACGTGTGTTGTTTGTGTGTTGTTTGTGTGTGTGTGTGTTTTTCCCACGTGTGTTTTTTGTGTATGTTTCTCCCACAGGCGCTTGCTCCGAAGGATCCGCGAGGATCCCCCGCGGCGCCCTCCCCAAGCGTGCGGCGCGGGGCGCAGTGCGGTGGCCATGCAGCGCAAAGGACGCCCTCCGCGGCCCACGTCCCTCGGGCCGCGCCCGCCCCGCGGGCGGGAGGGCAGGGCGGACGTGCCCAAGGACGACCCAAAGGAGGAGGAGGAGGAGGAGGAGGAGGAGGAGGAGGAGGAGAAGAAGAGGAGGAGGAGGAGAAGAGGAGGAGGAGGAGGAGGGGGAAGGGAAGGAGGGGCGAGAGGGGGATGCCCTGCCCCTCGCGCATCCTTGGTCTAGGGCTCCCAACTCCGCGCTCTCGCGCTCTGCGAAGTGCGAAGTGCGAAGAACTTTGCGCTCTCGCGCCGCCCCCCCGAAAGGGAGAAAAAGGAGAACGAGGAGGACGGGGAGAAGGAACGAGGACCGCGAAGCGCGAAGCGCGAAGGGCTCCGCGCCCTCGTGGGAGCCCTTGCTTAGTGCTCGGCCCCAGGGCACGTCGCACCGCGCAACCGAAGGGTGCAGCTCGCCCGAAGGCTACCCTAAGAGGCTGGCCAGCGAAAGTGGCCAAGGATGAGCCGAAGGGAAAGGATGCAAAGGTAGCCTGGAAATGTCGCTCATCCTTCTCACTAGCGTTGGCTGTATACTCCTCTCCGCACCCACCCCGAGATTCGACAAGACGAACAAAATGCAACATCGCGGAAAAATCACGACCGTAACCCCAAACCCTATCTTTCTGCGGCATTTGTCGAGCCAGATCGAACGCCCAGTGTGAAAAATGGCAACGCCCATATCAGGGCACGTCGTGGCAATTCATTTCCTCGCCTGTGGGCTGAAACTGGATGGCAGCCCAGCATGGTGGCCAACCGCGGAGGGAAAGACGAGCCACGAACGAGTCGCTCTGACCGTGTCAGCACTGGAAACAGCTGCCCGTGCAACCCCGTGGGCGCGCCCACCGCACACGGCCATCAGCTTTGAGCCGCAGCTCGAGATCTCTTTTCCGTCGAAGCATGCTGTTGCAGTCAGACCTGATAGTAAGGATGCGTGGTAAGGCGGCAAGCCCCTTGGACGCCCATATTGAAGCCTTTTCGAGCGCGGCGGGCCATCGAAAGTAGTCAAGGATGGACCGAAGCGGCAAGGATTGGGCGCCCGAGTTATCCGGGATAACTCGGGTCCGGGGTAACTCGGGTTTGGATTCCCGAAAAAGGAACCCGAGTTATCCCTGACCCGAGTTACCCCTGATGATTCGGGGCTCTTGGACGCCCGATTCATCCGGGGTAACTCGGGTCCGGGGTAACTCGGGTTTGGATTCCCGAAAAGCGAACCCGAGTTATCCCTGACCCGAGTTACCCCTGATGATTCGGGGCTCTGAGTCAAGGATGGACCGAAGCGGCAAGGAAAGTAGTCAAGGATGGACCGAAGCGGGCCATCGAAAGTAGTCAAGGATGGACCGATCGAAAGTAGTCAAGGATGGACCGAAGCGGCAAGGATGCAAGGGTACCCTTGGAAAGGCTACCCACTCCTGCCACCGGCTGCGACTGTGGGTGACCCGTTCGATCGATATTGACCATGCCGGCTCGCGCGAGGGCCCTTCGCACCACGAGCCACATGAAAAGGGACCGCGAGGCAGATCCGCAACCCCAGCAGAGGAGGGGTGAAGGCCGATGCTGCACTATGCCGCACGCCGCAGCTCGAGATCAACCGCCCCAGCTGCTGCGCCGCCCATTTTGGACGCCCGAAATGGGTACGGAAAAAGCGGGCTCGATGCCCAACGACTGTTGTCCCAAACCAACAGCGGCCGCTGTTGGGCAGGCGGCCTTCTGTCTCAAGCGTACACAGGCCGCGGCGCCGACAGCGAGTCCTGCTCAAAATGAGCAGGAACTGCTGTTGGGCATGGTACCCATTCTTTCCGTACACATTTCGGGCGTCCAAACCCATGCCTCCGGGGCCGCAGGAGGGCTGGAGGCGCGCAGATCTTCGCTCCGGGAGGACGCTGGCTCGCGCTCGTGCTGGCATCGCCTTCTTGAGCGCGGGCATCAGCTGCGGCGCCACGGGGGGGCGTGGTCAGTCTCTGGGCCAGGGCCTTCTGGGGCAAGGTGGCGAGGTGGAACAAAAAGTACGCCGAAAAATGGCACGCGCAAAACTGACTCACGAATCAAACAGAAAAACACATCTTTTCTTAACATCTGAAATATCGGAGATCTTTGACCTAGGTCAATCCAGACCCGGGTCAGCAAGGCCTTGCAGAATCCTGCAAGATCCTGCAAGACCCTGCACCCAAACCTTGGTCAATGCGAAGGATCCTGCAGGATCCTGCAGGATCCTGCGCCCAAGCCTGGGTCATTGCGACCCTGGCCCTGCAGGATCCTGCAAGATCTGGCGCTCTGGCTGACCCTCGTTTCGGCGGTGGACAAACCTCCCTTTAGTAAACCTCCCCTTAGAGAAAACGGCCTGGCACCGAAACCGACGGACCTGGACCCGCAAAAATGACGGCCGCGGCGCCCCCTCGCGAACCGAACACGGCCAATTCCTTTATCGACGTGTCAGGCTAGGATTAAGTCGGGCGTGTCCCCCTCCCCTACAGGGGGATTTTCGACGAAAAATATAATAGACTCAAAACATACTCCAGACTGGTCAAAGATACTCAACAAAATCGTCCCCTGACTATTTTTTGACTATTTTTGCATATTCCCCCTGTGGAGAGACAGGCCCGACTTAAGGCTACTACCCTCGTCAATATTAACCTCAACAGTTGCTGGCACGTCATTTCGATTTCGGCGCGCTCCTGAATGTCGACACGCCGCTCCTTCAATGTGGGGGCGAGGGCAACGATAGTCTGACCGAAGTTGAGGGGCGGCGCATGCAAGTACCCCGGACTCTAGATACTCGGCCCCAGATCTTCCGACAAGCAATTCAACCACGTCAGACATTTTTGAGGTTAATTTTGACGAGGGTTGTAGGAGGTCTGTCCACCTCCGACCGTTTGCATCGTCCCCTGCCTCCAGGCCCCCGAAACTATCGAAGGAGCCAGGCGCCGGGGCCAGCACGTGCCCCGAGGCGCGACGCACGGGGGCGGAGAGGCTCAGGGCGGGGCAGCACGCCGACAGGGAGTCTCCTCCGCCTCCTCCTCCTCCTCCTCCTCCTCCTCCTCCTCCTCCTCCTCCTCCTCCGCCTCCTCTTCCTCCTCCTCCTCCGCCTCCTCCGCCTCCTCCTCCTCCTCCTCCTCCTCCTCCTCCTCCGCCTTCTCCTCTGCCGCCGCCTCCTCCTCCTCCGCCTCCTCCTCCTCCTCCTCCTCCTCCTCCCTCCTCCTCCTCCGCCGCCGCCGCCCTCCTCCTCCTCCCTCCGCCTCCTCCTCCTCCTCCTCCTCCTCCTCCTCCTCCTCCGCGGCCTCCTCCTCCTCCTCCTCCTCCTCCTCCTCCTCCCTCCTCCTCCTCCCTCCTCCTCCTCCCTCCCTCCTCCCTCCTCCCTCCTCCCTCCTCCTCCTCCTCCTCCTCCTCCTCCTCCTCCTCCTCCTCCTCCTCCTCCTCCTCCTCCTCCTCCTCCTCCTCCTCCTCCTCCTCCTCCTCCTCCTCCTCCCCCTCTCGGCGAGGCATCGCCGAGGGCCCCCCGGCAGCGAAGCCTCACGCTCCCCGCGCGGGGTGGGCTGCCAGGATCGGCGAGGAGCGGGGCCCCTATGGGGCTCGATGCCAACATCCGCCCCGGGCGTTGCCCGGCGGCCCGCCATCGAAGCCTCACGCTTCCCGCGCGGGGTGGGCTGCCAGGATCGGCGAGGAGCGGGGCCCCTGGGGCTCGATCCCAACCCGCCCTGGTCGTTGCCCCCTCCTCCTCCTCCTCCGCCTCCTCCTCCTCCTCCTCCTCCTCCTCCTCCTCCGCCTCCTCCTCCTCCTCTCGGCGAGGCATCGCCGAGTGGCCCCCGGCAGCGAAGCCTCACGCTCCCCGCGCGGGGTGGGCTGCCAGGATCGGCGAGGAGCGGGGCCCCTGGGGCTCGATGCCAACATCCGCCCCGGGGCGCTGCCCGGCGGGTGGATCCGGCACAGGAACCACTTCTGTGCCGCAGCCTCGCCGAGCCTGGAGCGGAGTCGCCCTGCCTTGGCCGCCCTGGCCCCGGATGCGTGGAGCGCAGGCCTCCGGGAAGTCGCGCAAGCCGAAGTCGCCATCGAGCTGGGGGTCCGAGCGTCCAGGCGCCGCAACAGCCGAGCGTTTGGCGGAGCCGCAGGTGGCGGTCGGCAGCGGCGGGGCTCCCCCGAGCGGAGGGCAGAGCGGAGGGGGGGGAGAACCGACAGAGGTAAGGGACGACAGCGAAAATGGAGCAGCTGGAAGAGAGCCAGGACGCCTCGCATGGCGGTCGACTCGCAGCTGCCAGTCTCTCGCCAAATGAAGGCGTTGGCTTCGCTGCCTCCCACTGGGCATCGAGGGTGGCCGCTGGCGCCAAGGCGCTGTTACTTCGAAGGGCCTTCCATCAAAAAGAAGGCGATGAGAGAGGGGCGACGGAGGCGACGAGGGCAGTGGCCAAGGGAGCGGCCTAGCAGGCGGGACACGACGGGACCGCTGCGCACTGTCACAGCTGGCAGGACGCCTGGCCTTCCGTCTGCACGCTCCACTCCCCGCTGAAAGGGTCGCTCTCGAGTCTCGCCCTGCTCGGGCCAAGCCCGCGCATACCTACTAGATGCAATAGGGAGCACTGCAAATCGAAGAGCCACTCTGGCCAAACGTCCGGCCAACTCCAACCAACCCTTGGGCCAACTGTGGCAAACCCTGGTTAGGTTATCTCTTCAAGGACCGACCACAGCAATGCTTTAAAACAGCATGGCGCTTATAACGAACAACGAAACAAGGTCCAAGTATTATAACGAGCGTTGACACCGTGGCCTGTGCCAATCGAACGCGGACGACGTAACGGCGCGTTTCAAACAACTGCGAGAACGAAACGAAACGAACAACGAAACGAAAAGCAACACGAGGGCTCAGGCCGAGCTGGACGGCGCTGTGGGCGCGATTCTCTCTCCGCGCCCTCACGAGGCCAACAACACCGTGTGTGGTGATGTTTCCCAGGGGCTGAGATCTGCCACTGCTCCGCGTCTGCTCCTCCTCCTCCTCCTCCTCCTCCTCCTCCTCCTCCTCCTCCCCCTCCTCCTCCGCCCCCTCCTGCTCCAAATGCCAACTTCCCGCAGCCCTGCCCTTCCCAACCGTGCAGTCAGAATCCTGCCAGGCGGAGCACGAGACCTGATTTTTGGCCCCGGCTGCGCCCAGATTTGCGGGCCGCGCGAGGGGAATCCCGAGGATGGACCTGAGAAGCCCCGAGCCCGTCCCGAAAACCCAGGTTGTTTTTCTCTCAACATAGAACTGTACTCCTCGCATGCCCTTGGCCCCATGAAGACCCAGTCGGCGGACAGCATGATGGCCAGCACAAAGGCCTCCGATGGTCGGGGACAATGAGGGGCAACGATAGGGGGGGGATCAGCATAGGGGGGATGAATCGACCTGGAATCAGCGGTACATCGTCGATTGATCGGCGATAGGCCCCCGATAGTGAATCCGCACCTCCCTGGGTGGCGTGGGGTATCGGGTCCCTATCGGCGATCAATGGGCGATTTGGGGTCGATGCATCCCCCCTATGCATATCCCCCCTATCGTTGCCCCCGAGACAAGAACAGGAACGCGCGCATGGTATGCAGAGATGCGGGCACTGGGGCAGCTGAGTGACCCTCCCTTTCGCAGAGCAATGGCTGCAAAACTTGCCGCTGCTAGCAGGCTCGCCGTTCTCTCTCTCTCTCTCTCTTTCTCGCTCACTTCTTCTCTCTCTCCCTCTCTCCCTCTCTCTCTCTCTCGTTTTTTTTTTGTTTTCTCTCTCTCTCTCTCTATATATATATATATATATATGTACGCGTGTATATATCTTACATATTAATGCCATCGCGAGCGCTTCGCGCGCACTGAAGTTCTAGCTGCGCTGGATGGTCGAAATCTTGGGGATCTCTATTGTATGGTACTTCTTCTCTGGGGCTTCCAGGAACTACGAAGACGGCCCGAGTGGCTTCCAAGAATTCCTACGGTCCACCCACGGCGTCCTAAGACAGGCCCAAGAGGCACTTCGGGGGTCCTTCGATTCGCCACGGCTGGACGCAGCAAGAGGAAGAGGAAGAACAAAGGGGAGGTGAAGGGGTTCCCGTGAGGGAAAGGAGGAGGAGCTGGACAAGGTGAAGGAGGCCGCAAAGGAGGAGGAACAGGAGGAGGAGGTGGAGGAGGAAGGGGAAGAAGAAGATGATGATGATGATGATGAGGAGGAGGAGGAGGAGGAGGACATATGATGCTTCCATTTTTGTTGCAAGCGTAGCCAAGCTGCCAGACGGACTTGAAGACAAACTGGACATGTTAGACTGCCTGGCTTGTTAAATGCCCTTGGGGCCTCTCTTGGAGCTCTTTTAGACCTCCTTGGGGCTTCTTCGGGGCCTCTTGAGGCCTCCTGGAGGTCTCCTGGGGCGAAGATCTTGGGTTCTCGGTTCACGTTCCCGATCCTCGGCCATTGTTGGCGCTGACTACCTACCAAACCACCCCAACCCAACCCGAAGACCCGAATTTGACCCGAATTTCGGGTTTGGGGGGGGCACGGGTTCCATATGTTGTTCCAATGTTCCCCGACCCCCCCACACGGGAAATGGAGGGCAAACTGAGGCCTTCGGGTTGGGTTGGGGTGGTTTGGTCGGCGGTGAGGCGCCCTCTCGCGCCGTCTTGGACGTATCTTCTGTCGTTTTGGAGCAGTCTTGGGGCCGTCTTGGGGCGCTTTTGAAGCCTACTGGGCCGCCTTGGGGCGATCCTCGGAGCCTCCTGGGGCGCCTTGCAACGTCGGGACGCGGAACAAGCAAAAGCGTGTTTGCCCCTTCGAGCTCTCTTCAGCGACCTCTTGGAGGCCTCCTGGGTATCTTGGGGGCCTCTTGGGCCGTCTGGAGGCCGTCTTGGGCGTCTTGGACCGTCTACCGCCCTTCGGCCCATCCCGCCACCGTGCCTGGGTTGTCCCTTAGAGGCCTCTTGGAAGTTCGTTTGGGATTCGTGGGAGGCCTCCCGGGGGGCCTCTTGGAGGCAATTTTGAAGGCCTCTTGGGGGCCGTTTGGGGTGCGCTTGGGGCTTCTTTGTGTGCCTCTTTGAGGCCTCGTGGGGCCTCCAGGGGGCCTCTCGGGCTCTCTTGGGGGCCTTGTGGGGCCTCCAGGGGGCGTCTTGGGAAAGAAGGATCGAATTGTCGGTTCGTGCTCTCCCTCTAGGGCCCACTTTGGGGCCGTCTTGGGGCCCTCTTGGGCATCTTGGCGCCTCTTGGGCCGTTTCGGGGCCCTCTTGGACCGTCCTGGGGTCCTCTTGGGGGCCTCTTGGGCCGTCTTGGAGCGGTCTTGGAGGCCTCTGGAGCCATCTTGGAGCGTCGGTAACCTATAACTCGAGAGCGCGAACAACATACAAAAGCACAAGGACAATGCATGATGTTTGGCTCTTTGGGCCCTCTTGAGGGTCCTTTTCGAGCGCTCGTGGGGTTTCTTTGGGGCCTCTTGGGCCGTCGTGGGCGTCTTGGAGCTCTCTTGACCCGTCTCGGGGGCCGATTAGAGCCCTCTTGGCCCGTTTTGGCACCCCTTTGGCGTCTCCGGGCCGACTCTTGAAAGCGAACCCGGAAGGCAGCAAAACGTGCTGAAGACTGGGCAGCCCAAGGCTGGGGGGGTCTATGTATTTGTATTATATACGTCTACATATACAATGTATGTATACGCGCTCATGGCCTCCGATCACTGTTTCATGGCGCGCGGCGTCCCATTTGCGTGCGGCATGTCGGGTCTCGCGGACTTGACAGACCGCATGCATCATGCGCAAAAAACTGGTGGAACAGGACATTATCGTAGAGAGTTCTGGCGCATCGCTATGACAACGAGCTAGGGACCGTTCGCGTTGAGATGTGCAGATGAGCGCGCGGAGGGTGTTTCTTGGCATGGGCCACCCGCTGTATTTGCGACGCGGATCCGCCAGTGGCGACAAGAAGCCTTCAAGAGACCCAGACGACACAAAAAAAACAAAAAAACGCCACAGAGGGCCACCGTTTTGTCTCGACTGTCCCTCCTCCGACCTCTGGCAACCACGCCTCCGCTCAGAATTACCCGCAGCGTTGAGAGCACGTGTAGGCGGGCACCCACCAGCACCACCCGAGAATGCCTCTTGAGGATGAAGGCTGGGTTCTGGCCACGGATGTGTCGCAGGATGACAGACGCGCCAGAGGCCCAGTCTCCGATTTCGCGACGTAGCCATGTCCGCTCCCATTTCGCACTTCCTCTACTTTCCCCCCCTTTTCCTCTTCCTCCTGCTCCTCCTGCTCCTCCTCCTCTTCCTCGTCCTCCTCCTCCTCCATTTCTTCTCCTCATGAATAACTTTGCCCGGTCGCACCCCGAGGCCAGTTTTTAGGGCGGACCAGGCGTTCCGCGTGAGACTTCTCAAATTTGATGCCTTTAAAGCTTAAGCGTTGGCAGCAGCTTCACAGATGGAGGGCGGGTCGTTTTCAAAATTTGGATCTCGCATTAACGCCGCGCACATTCGTTTTCAAAAATCGAGAAAAACTCCAGGATTGTGAGCGAATGGTTTTCGAACTGTGGTTCTCGCCCTAGCCCCACGTACAATCGTGCTTAAAAAATTGGCAAGTATTTCACGGATTGAGGGTGCTTCCTTTTCAAAATGTGGCTCTCGCCTGAGCGCCGCGCGCATTCGATTTGAAAGGTTGCAAGTGTTTCATAGGTTCCCATGGTCAACGTACCAGAAAGCTTGCGATTGGAAGGGTTAAAGATTATGACGGTGCACTATTTACGTTGCTTCGCGGTGTTGAAACCCCAAGCATGGCGTGCTGGCCCGATTCAGGGTCGTCACAACGCAACTGTCAGGTTGATCCGTGGCATTGAAATTCCAAGAACATAATTGGGCATGCTTCAGGGTCTCCAAGCGGTTGTCTTCCAACGAGGCAATTCCCGCAGTGGAAATGAACCGCTGTGGAGTCCTATGAAGTGGGAATTTAGATGGAGGGTTTCTTCCAACATCGTTGATGACTCTTGGGTTTACACTGGTCCTTCTCCTCCTCATCCCCGGTCCTAACCCCAGCCCGTCGCAGCGATGTGGGTCACACCGCGTTCGGGCTAGAACGGGCCGCGGACCAGCTGCTTGTGCACCTCTGCAGCGAGAGGAGCACGAGAGCGCCCGCGGAGGGGCAGGCGGGGAAAGGCACGGTCAGAGCACGCGGGTGGGTAAACCAAAAAGGTACCGATACCGCTACTCCCTGGACCTCTTCCAGAGTGCGTTCTGACCAGGATTTCGAGGCGAACCCAGGAGGGCGACGAGGGCATCCCAGGAGGCCAGAAAAGGAGAAGACGGGGGGCAGGGCAGTTGTGTGGGTCCCTCTTCCTCCTCTGGGCGGCGGGCTCCAGAAACCCCGGATCCAGAAAGTCGCACTCTCTTGGGGGTGCATCTCTTGCTTCCAGCGGTTTCCCACGGCCGCCCCCAGCAGCCCAGCCGCGGCCAGGCAGGGCGCCATCCAGCAAGGCGGCCCTACGCACCAGGTCTCGGCGAGAGGGGCAGCAGCGGCTGCTGAGGAGGCGGGCCGGCGGCGCGCCCAACTGCGCACAGGAACACGGACCCCCAATCCGTGAGACCAGCCGCCAATGCCAGCGTTCGCGAAACGCGTACTCTCGAGACCAGCGTGGACTCCTGCACGTGTGCGCTCAGTGGGCCCTGGAAACGACAGGGCCGTTTTTTTACTGGTTCCGTTTTGCCGTTCTTTTGCCAATTCCGACGCCGTTTTTTCACCGGTTCCGTCGCCGTTTTTGGACTAGTTCCGGATGGAGCCGTTTTTTTGCCGTTTCCTGTCGCCGTTTTTTTACCGCTTCCATTTTCAAGGGACACTTTCTGGGAAACGGCGAAAAAACGGCCCTGCCGTTTCCGGGGCCCACAAAGCGTGTGCGTCCTCCTTTCGCTCCTGACCAGGGGCGGAGGCTGCGGGGGCGAGCCCGCTCAGCAGGTTCAGAAGGCCCCGGGCCTTCTGAGAAGCTCCCTGGGCCTTCTCCGAAGCCCCGCCGCCTTCTGAGGAGCCCCGCCCCTCTCACTTGCCCTCCTCGGCGCGCCACTGAGAGGAGGAGGAGGAGGAGGAGGAGGAGGAGGAGGAGGAGGAGGAGGAGGAGGAGGAGGAGGAGGAGGAGGAGGAGGAGGAGGAGGAGGGGAGGAGGCGTAGGAGGAGGAGCAGGAGCAGGAGCAGGAGGAGGAGGAGGAGGAGGAGGAGGAGGAGGAGGAGGAGGAGGAGCACGCCCTCTACAGAAAAGGTCTTGCCCGCAATGGACACCAAGCGGGGAGGGGAACCCCTCAACTTGTGGTGTCCAAAACCTGGATAACGAGACCTCAGGAGCTTCTG